TTGTTAATCTGTAAGCTTTTTGACATATTTTGAGACCCACCTTTCATGCATTTTTGCTCCCCATGGTCTAGTTTCTAGAATATCAATTGTGCCCATCTAAAAAGACTTATAGTCAAAGTTAAAATGCAACTAGCATAAAAGACCATATAAGGTAATTTAAAACTAATCTCCATATTGAATGTGGGGTACATGAATGCATCTGGATACCTATTGTAGATAGAAGCAAGTCTTTTGAAGTTAGGGATTAGGTTCTTTATAGTATTGTACATAAAATTGATGGTGAAAAGGAATGGGCAATTTTTCATTTTTTAAAAACATTTGTAAGGATAGCATGTCCTGCTACAACCTTCACTGGCACTAAATGTAGCTTTTATTTGCTAATTCATATAGTCCATGGTTTAGGGCATAGTTTCTCAACCTGTGGTACGCATACCCCTGGGAGTACACGAGACAGGCAGGGAGTACACGTGTACCCCTCAACACTCTCGCCCTCTTTTCCTCTTAGAACTATGGAAAAAAATTCCCCAGGAATAATTTGGCATTCAGCCCTCTTAGCTTTGGCCAACACGACCTCTAGCCCAGCTACATACTTGAGGTGTGCACCCCTGGTGTAAAAGGTGGCAATCCTACCCACACCAGATCAGACATCTGTCATAGCACGGCCTTATAGACGCAGGCCTTCTTTCAACATATGGCACATTAGTCTGTAAATATAAAATCCCCTGGAAAATTGAGTGTTGCGGTAGTTGTTAAAGTTTTCAGAAGTTAGGGGGTACTTGCTACTTAAAAGGTTGAGAAACACTGGTTTAGGATTAGCATGGTCTAAATTACCTTTATGGCAGCCTCTTAGTACTTTGTCAACATACCTGCTGCCAGTAAATATTTCACTAATTCAAGGTGACCCTCTTGAGCAGCCTCCATTAAAGGTGTAGAGCAACCAAGTTCTATATCAGCTCCGGCCTTAATAAGAAAGTCAGCTACTTCAGAGAATCCTCCACAGCATGCCAGGGTAAGAGCTGTTTCCTGCGTTTCTTCTGTCTGTGCATTTATATTTGCTCCTAAGAAACAGAGGTTCAATTATCAATCAAGTCAGGCAGGTCAACACCATGGGCATCTCTCTTCACATTCAGTTCAGTTTTCTAGCCAGTATAACTTGAGAGTTTGATTCTTCCCATGCACTAGGACTAATCAATATCTGAGCAGCCACATACTACATGGGTCCTCCCCAACCACCCCACCAAAGCAGGCAAGTTGTACCACACTGCCCCCCCCCGCCAGAGAGTGAGGGCAAGAAGTAGAAGCTGTAGGAGGGTGTGTAAGCCTCTAGATCCCAGCTGCAGCAGCAGCAAGAGTGATGGAGGGGAGTGACAACCAGTTGGGATATGCAGTTTACAAGTTAATAATTTTCAGGCTGCATACAGTCCTGTAGTTGCCCATTGGACAACCTTTTATAGACAAAGCAATTTTACAGTCACGTTCAATGGCAAACCCTAATAGGCCTTTGTACTCTGACAAGTAAGATCAATACTTAGTTATTTAAAGTAAGATTACTGTAATTAGAGGTACACTGATACATCAGTTCATATCATATCAGCACCGATAAAACAAAAATTGACATTATTGGCAATTGGCTTTTTTTGGCTGATGTCACCAATAAACACCACATGCATGCGCAGCCACAGCATGCGGAAAAAGCATCAAAGCCCCTGCAACACAGGACAGAGTCGCAAGCAGCTTGTCACGGGGCATAAGACTGCTCCCGCCAATAAACACCCTGTGGGAGCCATGGGGGGCATGAACCCCCCAGATCTGTGTGCAGGGCAAGGACAGGCTGTTGCTGCAGGCTGGGACCAGGGTTGGTGCTGGTCTCTTCCTGGTGGCAGGGCTGGGCCAGGGCTGTGCTCGGAGTGGGAGGTGGCAGTGCTGGGAGGGGGACCTACAGGGTGGTAGCTCCCACTCCCAGCACCACCACTACCTGGCCTGAGCGCAGCCCAGACCCAGCTCCTCTGCCGGGAAGAGCCCTGTGCCCCAAGCCTGCCCTCACCCCATGCACAGATTCAGGGGGCACAAGTTCCCTATGGCTCCTCTGGGGGTGTGTGCAGTGGCAGGAGCCACCCCCACCTTCCCCAGATGAGCCACTCATGGCTCCGTCCTACACCCAGTCCCACTCACTCCCACACTACAGGGGCCTCGATCTGCATGCCCCTCTTCCCACCCCCAACAGACTGACCAGTTGGATGCTGCTCTCCAAGATGCTGGGCTGCATATCAGCAATCAGACTGGTATCAGCCAATATGTCTCATTATTAATCGGCCACCAGCAGCAGCCCAAAAAATCTTTATCGGTGCACCCCTAACAGTAATGCAAAAAACTACTATTAAGGTCCAAAAAAACAGTAATTTATAACTCTTGTCCCACCTTGTGCTAGTAGCAATGCCACCATCTCCTCATGGCCTTCTCGGGCAGCTTCCATCAGCGGAGTATAGCCTTCATCGTTAACTTCCTCAAGATTTGCTCCCCTTTCTATCAGTAGAGCTGCTAGCTCTACATGTCCACCACAAGCAGCCAGTGTCAATGGAGATTCAAATGAATCTGCAGGCATGTTCACTTGAGCACCACTGTCTAAAAGCAAACGAGCTACTTCCACATGTCCATCCTAAGAATAGAGCAGGTGTTAAAGACAAAATCAGAAACATTCCAATTCAATTAAGACGCTATTGTTACAGAACTTATCACACCAGGGTCTGGAAAATGGAATTATAAAAAATCCATCTGGGAGATCTGAGATAAGTAAAATATTGTTCTAGAGTACAAAACACAAAATCACTGGGTTCCATTAGAAAAGGAACGTACAACATTATTACAAGTGTTGCTACTAATAAACAAACTTAAAAAACTCTTGATTCAGCTAAAACAATGCAATTTAAAAACAATGTTTTTTTTATTGTCAGAGATTTAGGACTTCTTATATACTTGCACTGAAAAGCATGCCAGGCACTATAGTAATATCTATGATACAGGATATGCTAAAAATAATTTTTACGCTAAGTAATCCTCCCACAGTCAGTGACCACTGCCAATAATAAAAAAGTGAATGCAGTAAGACAGTAGAGCTATAAATAGTTTTAAAAATTATTCATTTAACCTCCTCTAACTGTATTGGTTAAATGGTTAACCAACAATACAGCAGCTCAGACAGCTGCTGCTGCGAGCCCCGCCCAGGGACCTTTGACAGAGAGGTGAGGGGTGGAGGTGGTGGCAAGTCAAGCCAGACAATACAGCCCACTGAAGCCCTGGACTGGGAGGAAGTTAATTGCTTAACAGATGAACCATTAGGTAGTCTACTGTTTTCCTCCTTAACCTCACAGCCTATGGGAACTAGCTCCCTCGCCTTTCACCCTCCCCCTCTCTTGCTTGCCCTGCTGCTTTCTGGTTGCTACCAGGACACCAGGCTGCTTCCCAAGGTCTCTCCTCCCCCTGTCCCTTTTGCTACCCCCTCCCCACTCCTGTGGGCAACTAGGCTTTTGCTGCTGGCTGGGTAAAGTATTCCCCAGCTTGCAGCAGCCAATTTGTTTCAAAGAAATGCCATGATATTAGGGCTGTGCGAAGCTTCAGTCACTGATTTGATCAGGCGGCGATTCAGTTAAATTCTGCGGTCGAATTTCTGAATCCAAATTGAATCAGGAGACCCTTTAATCTCTCCAAATCCAATCGGAACCCTCCGAATCGATTCGGAGAGATTCGATGATACAGACAGACACAGCTTGAAATGTCTTTCCTACATACCTGAAGGTACCAGGCAGCTCATGAATGCTGAGATGGTGGGGCAGATGGAATGCCCCACAGGAGCATGCAGGGGTCCCCAGCATGCTTGGTGGCAGACCTGGAAGTGGACCAAAAGCACTTTCGGTCCACCACGGAGCATACAGGGAGCCCCCAGCAACCGGTGCCTCCTGGGTCTGGGGGGGCACCCAGGGTCCCCCTGTGGCCAACTGCTAAGCCAGTGCAGAGGGGGAGGGGGATGAGGGGGATCCCCCGCGCACTTGGTGGCAGACCTGGAAGCGGACCAGAAATACTTCCGGTCCACTTCTGGGTCTGCTGCTGAGAACGTGGGGGGGCCCCCCATGCTCCTGTGGGACACTCCATCTGCCCCACCATCTCAGCGTTCACAACCCGAGCCTGGTACCTTGAAGTATGTAGACAAAACATTTAAAGCTGTGTCTATGGCCAAATTGCTGATTCTCTGAATCAGAAACGAATCTTCAGATTCGGCCAAATTGAGTCAGGACAGTGATCTGAATCAACAAATCAAATCACTGTCTCCAATTCGGGCCGAATTTGATTCGGATTTGGATATGGCCCATTTTGCACACCCCTACATGATATGGCTGCTTGCTGGAGAACTGCCCAGCAAACAGCCCTATCTTGGCACTTCGTTGCAAATCTCATTTTTCACAAGGGGGGGGG